GTGAGACACACCTGGACAGGTGAGCACAGGTGAGACACACCTGGACAGGTGAGACAAGTGAGATACACCTGCACAGGTGAGACCCTAAACTTATCCAGGTGAGTCCCTGACCCCATCCAGGTGTGTCCCTGCTCCATCCAGGTGTGTCCTGACCTCATCCAGGTGTGTCTTGACCTTGTCCAGGTGTGTATTGACTTCGTCCAGGTGTGTCCTGACCCCACCCAGGTGTGTCCAGGTGAGTCCCTGACAGCCTCCAGGTGTGTCCCTGCTCCACCCAGGTGTGTCCTGACCTCACCCAGGTGTGTCTTGACCTCGTCCAGGTGTGTCCCTGCTCCATCCAGGTGTGTCTTGACCTCACCCAGGTGTGTCCAGGTGAGTCCCTGACCCCACCCAGGTGTATCCAGGTGAGTCCCTGATCCCACCCAGGTCTGTCCAGGTGAGTCCCTGACCGCCTCCAGGTGTGTCCCTGCTCCACCCAGGTGTGTCCTGACCTCACCCAGGTGAGTCCCTGACCCCACCCAGGTGTGTCCCTGCTCCATCCAGGTGTGTCTTGACCTCACCCAGGTGTATCCAGGTGAGTCCCTAACCCCATCCAGGTGTGTCTTGATCCCCTCCAGGTACCTCCAACCCTATCCAGGTGTATCCTGACCCCATCCAGGTGTATCCAGGTGAGTCCCTGACCCCACCCAGGTGTGTCTTGGTCCCCTCCAGGTACCTCCAACCCCACCCAGGTGTATCCTGACCCCACCCAGGTGTATCCAGGTACCTCCGAACCCCACTCAGGTGTATCCAGGTGAGTCCCTAACCCCATCCAGGTGTGTCTTGGTCCCCTCCAGGTACCTCCAAACCCCACCCAGGTGTATCCTGACCCCACCCAGGTGTATCCAGGTGCATCCCCTCACCTGCACAACCTCTCCATCAACGCCTCCGAATCTTCCTCCTCCTCCTCTTCCTCCTTCACCTGCCCGTCCTCCTTCACCTGCCCATCTTCTTTCACCTGTCCGTCTTCTTTCACCTGTCCATCTTCTTTCACCTGTCCGTCCTCCTTCACCTGTCCATCCTCCTTCACCTGTCCGTCCTCCTTCACCTGGCCGGCCCCTCCCTTCCTGCGGGCGGCTCCGTAGTCGAATTTGTAGTAGGTGTGCAGGACCCTGCGCAGGTAAACTCGGCAAAGCTCCTCGGGGCTGCCCTTGCCCTGCAGGTAACGCTGGAGCCGAGCGATGATGGAGCAAACCCGAGCCTCGTCCTTCAGGTGCTCCACGTATTCTGGGGGGGGGAGAGGACAGGTGAGTTACCTGAGCACACCTGAGTGACAGGTGAGGGGTTAAAAGCGCAGAAAGGTAAAAAAAACGCGGTAAAAATCTGACCAGGTGAGCTCCAGGTGAGTCCCAGGTGAGGATTTGGGTCCTTCAGGTGCTCCAAGGACTCACCTGAGTTACCTGGAGCTCACCTGGGC